CTCTGCCGTGGAGCCTCTGGATCGCGCTTTTTTGAGCTAAAGCAAATTGTTTTTGCAGCACTGATACACATCTAGAATAATATTCAATTAGGCTAATGGCTGCTGCTCCATTGTTCAGTGAGAAGCAGTGATTGGGAACCTCTGAGCATGGCTCAGTCTGCACTAATTCCTGCTGCACAACACCTGCACCTGCCTGGCCATCCCACAGCAAATAAACCCTTTTCAGAGGTTTTATTTCTATATATTTCTATATATATTATTTTTATATATATTATTTATATATATATTATTTCTACATATTTCTATTTCTATTTTATTTTCTAGGTTTATTAGGAGATAGAGGATGACCTTTAGCTTGGACAGGAGAGGCTGCAGGGTTTGTGATGTCCCTCTGTCAGAACTGACCCCTCCAGCAGGGATGGATTCTCCAGGGATGGGGAAACAGAGCAGGGAATGGATGTTGGGATGAGTGGGATGGGGACTGGTGCTGACACCTGAGATCTTGGGGAATTGCTGATCCCACAAGTGCTGCACTGAAATGGTGATTGCAGAGTGAGGAAGCAGCTGAAGTTCAGCCTTTAGTGGGAGGGAAAGGAAATGAGGAAGGAAAAAAGGTCAATGAATATAATCTCTTTGCAAAATTTTACATTTTCTAATCTTTCATAAACACATAATCCCAGTTGTTTGTTCTTGCCTTTGGGTGATTGAATGGTGTATCTTACCTGATAGAAAATGGAGTTTTCTCACAGCCAGGCTTCATTAATATGTATTGGAAACCTAAAACGGTGTTCAGCCACAAGCGGTAAAACTACAGAATTGCTGTGGATTATAATAATTTCAGCAAAGCATCTAATTTATATATTAAGCTTGCTTAATGGATTTATATTGCCTTGCTCTTTGATCTGAAGCAAAAGGTGGTGAATAATTTATCAAATAAAAAGCCCTCCCCTAGCCCAGCCCACACGTCACAATCTGCCCTGTAATTTACATTTTTTAAGAGATGCCGTTTCCAGGCAGAAGAACTGCTTCCTAAAAGACTCCTTCTAATATTACAAATGTATTTTCGTGAGCTACACTCAGGGGAAAGAAATAATAATGAAGGAATGCAATTCTACAGACAAATGTTCCAGCTCTCTGCCTTCCTCACTAAAGACAGTCATTTCAGCTGAATGCCAAAAGGCATTTAACTGTAGCATTTGTCAGTGGAACAGGGCTGGCTTTGGGTTTCCCTCCTGATTTACAATGGAGTGTTTATTGGGTTTAGTGTACTGTAGCATGTTTTGTTAACCTCTAGACAAACGCAGGCAGCTGGTGCATTAATCCCAGGGATGATTCCTGTCAGGGGACAGGGCTGCAGGGCTCTGGGGAGGTTCTGGCTGCTCCACGGGGCAGCAATCAGCTCTGCCTGACCTGGGCCAGCTCCTGAGGTGCTGCTTGTGAGATGGATCATCATTCCTCCGTGGCTTCGTTTTTCAACAAAAACAGGGTGAAAGTGCTGCATGGTGGGAGCTGGGGGAGCTACCATAGTCACCTGCCCAAGGAGCATTTAGGTCACTGTTTAGGTGTGTTTGAAGCACAATTATTGGGAGCTTTGGACCTGGAATTCCTCAGCTGATTTGTGCTTATCCATGGGAGTCATTCCCCACAATCCCAGCTCCTGGTCCATGCCCAGGGACAGCAGTGTTTGCAGTCACAGCCCATGGGATTCACTTCTCAACAATCCCAGCTCCTGCTCCCTCCCCAGTGTTTGCAGCCCCAGCTCTCTCAGGGCTCCTGACACTTCTCCCATTCACTTTTCCCCCTCATTTGTCCAAACCCACCAGTTGTCAAACATTTCCTAGGGCTGTGTGGCAGCGTTGATTCATATTTAAATAAAGCCATTATGCCAGCCTTGAGTTCCAGTAGTTTTCTGCTCTTCCTCTTGAGTATTTCTCTCAGTAGTGCCATCTAATCAGCTTTAGGTTTTAATTAAACAGCTGTCATTTGCTTCCTAGTTCTGTTGCGACCTGATGTTGTATTAAATTTTAATTTAGCCTGGGCTGCATAAGAAGTAGATTCCTTCAGACAACAAAGAAATGCTATTAGCAGGTTACAGTTGTAATTAAGAGCAGCTCTGCTGAAGTGCTAATGCAGTCAGGTAGAGAGCTGCAGATAAACACACATAATAATAATTATTATTATTATTCAGGGATGGAGCCTGTGATACGAATGTGTAGATTCCACCCCTTCAGGCTGCTGAGCTGAAGGAGTTGGTCAAGATCTGACCTCAAGAAAATAAATGGGGAAGGATTCGCAGTTTTCCACCAGGGCCTTGCAGTGCCCACAGTCAGAGGGTCCTGGCTGATGTTTCACTGTGCCACATTGGAGAACCATCAGCTCAATGAGCCCTCTCTGCATCCCAGATGCTGCCAGAAATCACAGGGAGCTGAAGTTCAGCAGCTCTTTTCCTGCAGGAAACTGCAAACCAAGCTTTACAGAATTTAGATGAAATGTTATGACTTGTTGAAGAAGCACTAAAAGGTTTGTTTATAAATCTACAGGACAGTCAATTAGTTCATATTTCTTCCTCAGGGGAAATATATTTTTGCAGTCTATACATAGCCAGCCCTTAAGAAGGCTTTAAACAGCCTATTATATTTGTGTAGCACTCAGTGCAGGCATCAGGCCTGTGGGATATTGATTTCTGTGGTGGAGCTGCTCACAGAGGGGAGCAGGCTTTGGGAGGCTGCCCCAGCTAATGAGCACAGGGGCTCCTGTGGGTGCTGGGCAGCTCAGCACAGTCCTGGTGCTTGTCTCATGCTCATCTTTTATGAGAGGAATGCAAATGCCTTTAAAACTTCACATTGCCCCTCAGTGCAAAGTCTGAGTGCAGCTTTGGCACTAAGAGCCTCAGAGGGGGCTGGAGGCTTGTGCTTTGCCACACAGCACGGCCAACACCTGGGTGATGGCACAAACAGCACAAAAACCAAATGGGAATGGATCAGGCCTGCTGGGAGCTGGTTCCAGTCCACCAAGGTGCAGAGAGCCTTTAATCCTGGCTCAGTGTTTAATCCTGGCTCAGTGTTTAATCCTGACTCCCTGGTGCTTTGATCAGGCTGTGACTGACACCAGCCCTGCCTGCCTGACCTGAGCAGCTCACAGCTGTGCTAACAGAGAGGCTGGAAGTGGAATTTGTTGTGTGCTCGCTGTTTGTGACCTTGGCCAAAATAGATTTTCCCCAGCTGTGTTGAAGAACACCATCTATTGTTGGAGAATGTTGGAGAATTGCTCCTCACGAGCCCTTTGACCCAGGACCACCAGGTCTTCATCAAATATCTGATATTTGAGGGCTTAGGATATATGGGGTGTTTGCAGTGGTGAAATCTAACTGCTTCTTCTCTGGCCTGTGGGTGAATTACCTTCTCTTTGCTGTCTTATAAAACCTTTTTCCACGTGAGGTGCACCTAAGTGCTTTCTTCCACCTGGCAGTGCATTTTCTCCTCAGCCTTGTTCAAATCTCGGTCTTTGTAAAGGATTTTCAGTTGTTTTTTTTTCACACTTCCACTTCTGTCACACACTCCTTTCTTTGCCAGTGTCCCTCTCTCCTGGCTGGCAGCTGGTTATAAATGAGCCCGTTCAGCAGAAACAAAAACCAGACAGTCATTGACTGGTAGAACATCTGGTTTGTGCCTCTCAGAGAACAGAACAAAGCCTGCACTTATTTCCTGAGGTGTTATCCAAAAAGCCTCTCTGCTCAGGATGACTCTTCAATCACACTGGAGTGTGATGTGAGGCCGAGCACGTCCTTTCAGGGCTGTCCTGAGCAGAAATGGACTCCAGTGTGTGCTGGATGCCTTTGTGCTGCCCATAAACCTCTCTGGGGCTCTCAGAGGTGCCTGGCACTGCTGGTATTAGTGCTGCAGCTCATTTAATTCAGGCTGCTTTCTGTAGAAGGTTCCGAATATTGATTAATAATACATCTTAGCTGCAAGTATTTATTGGTCTTCTCCAGCTGTCCTTAGCTTGTGGTCAATGCCCATTATTCTCTATCAATCTAGCCAGTAGCCAGAGCAAATGATAGTGAATATATCTCCCTATGCAAGCTGCCATCAAATTTTTCACTAAAATCCATTCCTTCTTCCACCAATTCTAATAATGGAATTTAAAGTTAGATTGGTTTGAAGCAACTTTTTTATTTTTTCCCCTGCTAACCGGCAAGCAATTAGTTTTACGGAAGTTGCAAAATGAAAAGGGGATTGATTCAGAGCAGTATTTCCTATTGCGGGCTTTTTGAGGGGGGCAGAACGGATCCCTGTGAAATCCCAGATCATTCCTTGTCCCATTTGTGTGTCACCTTTTGGGCTGGCAGTCAGCACTGCTTCTGCTTCTGCTGCTCCCCTCCAGCCTGGACCTGCTCATGCCAGGCAGGGGCCTCTGCACCAACTCGTTTGGAGTAATTAATCAGCCTGAGACAGAGAGGAAGGCTGTGAAATGGAGTCATTAGAGTGCCAGCACTGTGAATTCATCAGGGTTACAGATAAACGTGGTTAAGCATCTCTTGGTGGGGAAAGACTAAAAAAATTGTGTATGGGTGCACAGATTTTCTCCTAATGTATTTATGGAAAGAAATGGTCGACTCACAGCAGAGTGAGCTGGAACAGGAAGGAAGGAATGCTGTTGTGGTGGGGGATAATCACCTCCCAAACCACTGGCACCATTTCGGGCAGAGGGCTGGGAGGAGCTGGTGAGGCCCTGGAGATCCTGCTGAGCAGTGCTGTGCTTACAGATCCCTTCCCTCAGCCAGAAGTGTGTAAATGGGCTCAAAAGGGATAAACCCATATTTTTCAGAACAGGCCTTGGTGCTCCTGATGCAGCTTTTGGCTCAGGAAGCTGCTAAAACATTGCAGGGAGCTGGAAGGGTGGGAGGGAGGGTCCCATCCCTGTCACTGTCATGACCCCTGTGTGATTCTCGTGCTGTTGTGCTGCTCCAACACTCAGCCCGTGTTTGTGTGTGCCCCCAGGACACAGAAATCCTCAACACAGCCATCCTGACGGGCAGGATGGTGGCAGTGCCAGTCAAGGTGGTGGCCGTGCAGGAGGACGGCTCCGTGGTCGACGTCTCCGACTCCACCGAGTGCAGATCTGCTGATGAAGACGTGGTCAAGGTGAGGCACCCACGGGAGTTTGCTGTGCCCAGTTCTGGCCCTCAGTTTGGGAGGGATGTTGAGATGCTTGAGCACATCCAGAGGAGGCAACAGGGCTGGTGAGGGGCTGGGAACACAAACCCTGTGAGGGGCGTTTGAAGGAGCTGGGGCTGTTTAGCCTGGAGAAGGGGAGGCTTAGGGGTGACCTTATTGCTCTCTTAGAAGTGACCTTATTGCTCTCCTAGAGGTGACCTTATGGCTCTCTTAGAGGTGACCTTATTGACCTCTTAGAGTGACCTTATTGCTCCCTTAGAGGTGACCTTATTGCTCTCCTAGAGGTGACCTTATTGACCTCTTAGAGTGACCTTATTGCTCTCCTAGAGGTGACCTTATTGACCTCTTAGAGTGACCTTATTGCTCCCTTAGAGGTGACCTTATGGCTCTCTTAGAGGGCAATAGAGCTCCTCCCAGAGGGGTCTCTGTTCCTCTGGGCTGTGCCCTGCCCGTGGTTTCACAGCAATAATGCAGAATATTGGCACAGGGGCTGGAAGTTTCCTTCCTGCTCGGGCTGCATCGCCAGTCAAGAGTTTCTTATAATGAACGATCCTGAACTGTACCAACATCTGTAGAGAGTGACAGGGATAGGGAATAACAATCATACTGCAAAAAGTCTTAAAATGAGACCTCTGAGCTTTTAAACAATATTGTGCTGTGTTTTACTGGGTTTTTTTTAGTTTTGGTTTTTTTTAATATTTTGTTCAAGTGGCTCTGTCCCCCTGACATTGCAATGAAAATTGTGTTGATGTGACTTTCCCAAGACCCTGCCTGCCTGACTTCTGACACCATTGCATGGCTTGCAGCTTTTAGCTCATTAGTATTATTAATATTTTAGACATAAAAGAGGTGCTTTTGAATGTCTTGAATATATTAATTTGTTTTGTTATGTGATTTGGGGGTGTTCTTGTTTCAAATGAACTTAAAAATTGACTACAGAGAATTCTGTATGAGGTGGGTTTTTTGGTATTACTTATGGATTCCATATTTTCCCTTAGGTATCAGATAGGGAAAGAAAAAAATCCCATTTTCTTTTTCTGGAAACCAAAATTCTTTGAATGTCCTTACCAGAAGAATATGGATTAATATCTTTGCTTATAACTAGATTAATTGTCAAAGGAAAAGACTGCCTCGATAAATGTTGCTATTCTTTACATTTTTTTCTGTGTAGCATACAGCTATTATCTGATTAGTGACTATTATTTATGAATTGATAAACATGAATTATATATTATAAACTCAAGCATTGAGTTCTATATCATCAACATATTGCTGGGGCTGTTTTCTTTTTGCACTCCAGAAAACCAGATCCAAAAGATGCTGTGTGGGGACTTTTATTAATTGAGCTTCTAGGACTTGCTGTACTTTGAGAATACTGGGCTGAACCAGACAGGATTTACAATGTTTTGTGGGGTTTTTTGGTAGTGACTTGATATAAATCAGATCTTCATTTGCCTGCTTTAGGAGATTATTTGGGTCTCAAATCAATGACAGTGGGCAATGCCCCTGTGACCTTCTCCTAGGCCTGGTACCTGTCTCTCAAATATTTAGACATAGTGAACAAACCCAAGAGGTCTCAATGTGGTCTTTGTTGAGTTGATATTGCCTCATCCTGGTGGTATAAATGGGGAGTAATGTTATTTTTGTGAAAATTGCAGCATACTTGCACGATTTCAGTCACAAATTACTGACACTGAATGCTGTTCAGGCATAATTTTTTAACTGCAAATATATGTATTGGTTGCAAGATTGAATCCATAACAATTAATTAGCTGAGTTAAAATTTAGTACAACGTTTATGTGCCTATATTTTTTCAGAAAAATGCATATTCCGTTTACAAGCCCCTTTGGTAAAGTCAATATTGACTTTGCTTCTGAATTTCTGTTGCCTTTTCCATATAAGTTGTAGTGCTAAACCCTCTAATGAGAGTTGTCAGGCATTTTGGATCTAATTGCCTTATCTTAAGCTTCTTTTCACTCTTAATTCTGCCTTTATTGTTTCTTTGATGCTGGAGACATATTCCTATTCTTTTGGGCAGAATAGAGTGTTGCATTCTTAACCTTTTATTTCTGTTTAATAGCTAATGATTTAATAGCCAATTAATGAGACAATTCTTTGATCACTGCTCTAACATCATTATTTTCAGTTAAGGCAGTGAATTGAAGCTAGATTAAATAAAAACAGGGCTTCCACCCAGGCTCTTATGTGTTTGTACAAAATGAGTTTTTCTGGGCAGGGACCTGGTGCTGCTCAGAGATGGGCAAAGAGATCAGAGATGAGCAAGGGGTTTATTTGTGTGCCAGAGCTGGGACTCTGCCCTGTTCTCAGCCATTTCACAGTTTAACAGCTTCACAACTGAGAATATTTCAGCTCCTTTTTCCAAAGCCTACCTAATTAGTGGTAAATACAATAAAACACACCCAGGGGTTTTTGACCTTGCATTTTCAGCATGTGATCCTCAAAGGAATCTGACAGCTGAACTTGCTTTGGTTCATCCCAATCCCTGCTTCCTAGATTTGGACATAAATCCTAATACTGACCAACCCTCCCACTGGAACTGGCTGCCCTCTAAAATATTTGGATGGAAACATTCCTGTAAGTCAATGGAAGTCTTGTGCTTATTCCATGATTTAAAAGGAACGTTTAATGCTGTTGGCATTTGAGGGAAAAGACTGGCTTTATGATTAAGGCACTGAAATGCTCCTCAGCATTAATTTCCATATCTCTTGCTGATTTCCTGTGTGACTGTGGGTAAATCACTCATTCCCCTTGGAATCTTGCTTCCTTATCTGCTAACAAGGAGAGAAATTCATCCTTCCCCCTCCTCCACTTGCATTATATGGTTTCTAGAGTTTCTATTGACTCTGATGGCCAAAATCCTCATCTTGACCTCATTCACCTCAGTGTCTCCTGCCAGCGACTCCTCTCTTCTCTCTGTCCCTGCTTTTCCTGCAAACCCTAAATAAATAATCAGGCTGTGAAGCCGAGAACAAAGGAATGGTGTGAGCGTGGCAGAGGTTGATTACAGAGGGTTTATTGCAGGAGGAAATGGACCCTGAGGGGCTTTGGCGTGGCCAGAATTCAGTGAGGAGCTGCAGGCAGGGTTCATGCCCTCCCCTGTAACAGTGCCTCTGAAAGCCTGAGCTGCAGTAATTCCACATGAAGGGAAATTCTGGAGGCTCTGGGGTCTCATGGTGGTTGTAAACATCACCATCAGCATCAAATGAAGAAATTCTAATGAGGACAGCTTCTTAGTCCAAATGTTTATCTCAGTGGTGTTCGATTGAAAGAGAGACAGCTGCCCAATTAATTCATCCTTCCATTAGTCATAACTCTGTGTTCTTTGCAAGTTACACACAAAGTGACTGATTGTTCCAATTAATCTCTGCAGTCACTCAATGCCTTACACCATGGACTAATTTAGCCTGATTTTTTTATTTTATTTTATTTTTTGGTAGGAGAAAAGGCCCTCAGTAGAACAGCAGGGAGTCAGGGCCTCCCCTGCCCATTTGTGCCCACACATGAATCAGTAGGAGCAGACAGGCTCCCCGTGCCCAGCACGGGCACACTGGGAACAATGGTGCTTAATAACTCCCTGTGAACTCCATCTGTGCCACAATGTGCCTTCCTTGTTATCTTGCTAGAGGAAAGCTCTTCAATGAGTTATTTTTCACCTTTTCATAATTTCCTGTCTAATTATAATGAAAGTAAAATTCAAACCGTTCCTGCCCTCTACTTTTGGAACACAAACCTTATCTTGAACTCTCCATAATTAATGGTAAAACAATAGAAGACCTAATTTTCCTGGCAGCAGCCAGCCAGGCTTTATCTAACGTGCAGAAAAAACCAGTGTAACAAAGGCAGAGAGGTAATAGCTGAAATAGATTAAATCTGAGGAGAGTTGTTCCCTCTTGCAGACAAAGCAGATGAGTGACTGAGGACCTCATCCAACAGCCCTGGGCACAGGGATCTCCAACCCCAGCACAAAAACTGCAACAAGGACCCATGGGCAAAAAACAAACAGGGAAATGGAGGGATACTGAGCTTCTCCAATTTAGATGGCACTGAATTTTTGGGAACAATCCCTTGCTGCAGGCTCACAGCACATTCTTGGGACAATTTACAGAAAGAGGAGCCTGCCTGGAGTTGTTAAATACAGCTATTTATGCAGCAGCTCTGAAAACAAAGCCAGAGCTTGTAATTTGCAAGTTCTGCAGCTGCTTTGCCATTAAAGTATGTGATCAAGAATGTGATGGACTTGTACATAAAGCAGAGCTAATCTTGTTCCTCCATTTATCACATTTTTGAGTACCTATCACTGTATTACCTAGCAGCTTTATTTATTTTTTATTTATTTTGTGGTCACTCGTGCAGAAATTACCTTCCTCCAGGAGGCCAAACTCTTCCTGGAAGCAGTGAAAATCCTCTCTGCTTGTTTGGATGATGGATTTACTTTGGTGCCACTTGGCTTGTTGCACTATGAATTTTGAGCTGGATCTCATTTTCTCAGTGATCTTTTTCTTCAGTGGAGCATTCAGGACTGGCAGAAGGGAATGGACCCTGCAGGTGTGAGTGCCCCAGAGCAGGGCCAGGCTGGGCTGGGTGCTGGAAAAGCTTTTGGAGTGTTTAATGTGGTCAGTCCTTCTCCCTGACCCTCCTGTCCTTTTAATCCCACCCGGCTGATGCCAGCAGCCCCATGCCCTCAGCTGTGAGCAGCTCCAGGAGGATTTATTGGCCACAAAGAGTTGTCTTGTTAAACATCTTGCCTTTTGTATCTGTAGGCAGATATGCCTGAGTTAGGGCAATAATGAATTATCATCGAGCTGTTTGCAATTCATCAAACTTCTAAATTAGAGCTTCTTGCAATTTCTGGCCATTTTGGACAAAAAGTCCATTCTCTTTGTCCCCATACAAAGTTCATCTTTATGAGTCATTAGGGGTGGGCAGGGGAGCACATCAGATTTCT